GTAGCGAAGAGGTGATATGTTTCAAGTGTGGAAAGTCTGGGCATTACACCAACGAGTGCACATTCAACAAGAAGGTGTGTTTCAGATGTAACAAATAAGGGCATATTTCTAGAGACTACCTAAAGAAAAACAAAGCAACAAGGCCAAATGCACTGCCAAAGCCAAGGGCATTCCAGATGATCCTCGATGAAGCAGATAACAACACGGGGAATCAAGGATGAGGAATTTAACATTTATGAAGTAGCTGTAATAACTAGGGATGAGCAAAAGGACCGAACCGGCCGGAACCGGCCGGAACCGGACCGGAACCGGGAACCGGCTTCGGCCAAAATCAAGAACCGAACTGGCCCGGCGGTTCTATCGGTCCGGTTCTACCGGTTCCCGGTTCCTACCGGTTCTTGTCGTGTCTTCAAATGTTGGAACCGGTCCTTGAAAAATAGCATCATACGGTTCCGGTTTTTGCCGGTTCTACCGGTTCCGGTTATATCAGTTCCGGTTCCTACTGGTTCCCGGTTCCAAAAATCTACAAAAATAACGTCCCCGTCCCGGCCCGACCGGTTCCATCGGGTTCCGGTTCCGGTGCCGGTTCCGGTTCCGGTTCCGATACCGGTTCCGGCCGGTTCCCCGGTCCATGTGCTCATCCCTAGTAATAACATATGGTGTAGCCTGTTAGAAGTATAGTATAGGTTGAACTTGAAAGTTTTTGTAATCATTTCAGGAAGTAATATAAAGCTTCATTTTGTTACCTGATGTGTTAAATGATTATGTGAAATTCTTGAAAGGTGACTAGGAAAAAAAACTGCGAGACAATACTTGAGACGAGTATGAGTAGGTGTGAATAGTAGCAGAGGCCTATACTACTGTAAGCACTGGACTTACACTTGGATCAGGGAAAGTCATAAGGTTACCAAGAAGCTAGTAATTGATTTCGTTTTTGTTCAAGTATGCCATTACCATTGTTTTGGTAATGACTAAGAAGATGATTGATATTCCGACCCTAAACGTCATATCAAATCTTGTCCGACATAACACATGGAGCATGTGCAGGATTGAGCATTGCCTGCGGTCGAGAAGTCCAAAAGTTAGATACTCGTTCGAAGGAACAAAAAAGTCACTGTTATTACCTAGGATGAATAGAAAATGTACAGAATCATTATACAAGCCCTATTTCGTTGATGATTCTAGTACGTACTCATCCTAAGGGAGAGATAATTGTAACGCTCGTAGATCCGGGCTAGTTAATTTAGAGACGATAAGCGTTGAAAATGAATTTTTAGAAGATTGTTTAAGATGAATAATCTTAACCAATTTGTAGTGCTCGTGACGAGGATTTCGGATATATAACGAACGCCAAAATCCGAGTTATAACGAAGAAGTTATGACCTGTCGAAGTTTTTGCGATAGAACCGGCACGATGTTTTGTAACGTAAATAGTGAATTTACGACAGAACGATTTTTAGTCTTAGTGATCTAAACAGAAATCGTAGTGTTCGTTAAACCAAGAACGTGCATAAAAACAATGCCCAAATCTGACTTCGTATGAGGAAATTATGATTTTTGTAAGTTTCAGCTTAGCAGTATGCAGCCCGAAACTTGAATTTTAGATCGAGTGACTTTTAGCCGAATTTATCAAGGTCCATTAAGCACTTAATAAGGTTTTGGCAATCTATTGAGTATGCCCAACGTAAATCCAGTACGCCCGGCATACTAGGTCAACTACCTCGATGATGGTCAACATCTGGTCGAGTACGCCCCACGTACATCCTCTGTTGGGCATTTGTCAAATGGGCTTCGGGATTTTTGGTTGTTTATGGTCTAAATGGAATTGGACCTTTACTGGACTTAGTAAATAAGATGTTTTGGCCCGATGGTGATAGTGGATCATGGGGTGAGGCCCAATTAGGAAGTTGGGCCTAATTTGGTAAGTTGATCCAATAATGGGCTTTTCTATGGACTTTCAAGTCGAGAACTGGGTATTTGGGCCTTGGCCCAATAAAGAGAATGCACTTAATGAATGGTGTGGTCATTTAATTATGAAGGTTATTTTGGGTATTAATTTGGTGTTTATTGTGTAATAGTTTGGGATTCCCGGCAAGACAACAATCATAGATTTACAGTATTTCAACACTACTAGCAAGGTGAGTTATCCTCACTATATCAATAGGGTCTAAGGCACCAAGGCTGGCCCTTTATGGATTGTATCTGGTTATGGCATGATATGTTTATTGGTTAGCATCTTGGTAGTTAGGATGAGGTTATGTCTATGATTAGCGGGTTAGGTCGGTGCCTGGTTATAGGATGATATTATGTGATATGCATGTATGATCTGTTAGATTGGTATCCTGATAGATAGGATGGTATTATGTGTTACGTGGTATGATCTGTTTTGATCAGTTCATTTTCTATAGACTGTTATGTGATTATCTGTTATATGTGCACATGTTTGTTTGGTGGTTGAGGCTTATCTGCATTGTGTGAAAGCCAATAGACACGGGCATTCCAACCTATTGGTTGTGGGCCGTAAGTATTCCATCCTGAGGATGATTGGACTCATAATATATAGGCATTCCAACCTGTTGGTTGTGGGCCTGAAGGTATTCCATCCCGAGGATGATTGGACCCATAGTATGTTGGCATTCCAACCGATTGGTTGAGGGCTTGGGGTATTCCAACCCGATGGTTTACTGGACCCATAGTATGTTGTTTATGATTATATGTGTATTGTCGTGGGTATGGGTATTTTAGGGGAACTTACTAAGCTTTTGGGCTTACAATTTTAGTTTGTTGTTTTAGGTACTTCTAGAGATCGCGGGAAGGCGAAGGCATGATCGTACCACTCCTCCTGTTGTTATGATTTTTATGATTTGATACCGGGATACTCTATATTTATTATTTTGAAAACACACTATGTAATGTTAAATGGTTTTACGTGCTTTGAAAAAGTTTAAATTTGGCATGATTTTTATGGATGTTACAAGTTGGTATCAGAGCCTTGGTTTGAGTGAATTAGAGGAACATTCGTGTGAATCCAGTCTCAAATCAAGGAAAGATTTTCAAAATGGTTTTAAATGGTTTTCAAAATAAGTAAAGGAGGATTCAGGGTGTATAATCAGCCGGAGCCAGTAAGTAAATCCCAAAATACCATAGAGTTATTTGATTATGTGATATGTTAGAACATCATGCTAGTACTAGGCTAGTGATTTTCATGAATTTCATGATAGAATTGCCTGATTACATGATGCGTGCTAGCCTAGGGTTTTCCTTATATGAGATTGACATCATTATTGTAGTTGTGTGTATCACGGTTGTACATAATTAAGATCTTATAGCCCGAGAATGTTTGATTTGGCCTTTTTTCTGTTCATATTGATTAGGGGTTAGGGTAGGATCCGACATTTGAAAATCTATAGGGTCCAGTGTTATGTATGGTTAGCATACACTAGTGTTGCAGGAGTTGGTGGAAGTCTCATGGATGAGTGAGGTCGAGCGACTACCATATGCATGTGTATTGTTAGGGTGTTATGATGATACTTGAGAAAAATATGGGTAGGTGTGGAAGGTAGTATGGGCCCATACTACTGAAAGCACAGGACCCATACGCGTAGCAAGGAAGTCACAACCCCTAGGTTATCAGAGGCCCCAACAGCGACTGAGGTTATTGGGCAGGAGGGGCTAGTGTTGACAGAGGATCAAGTCAGGGAGATCATCCGCAAGGAGGTGGTCGAGGTTGTCCGGGGGCAGATTCCGGAGTTGTTTGTGTCTATCAAGACCTC